GCAGCGCGTCCTGCACCGTGGCTGTCGGGGGCGTCTCGAACAGCGCCGACACCGTCCTCTTCTCCAGCCAGCCCAGGTGGGCAACCTGCAGAGAGCAGAGGGCAACCTGGCCCACCCAGCCCACAGCAGCACAGGCACAAGGGCCTGCCCAGTCCCTGGGAGCTGCTCCTGCACCCGGGAGGAAGCCAAACACCTTGGCACTGTTGGAATATTCCAGGGGAGTATCCAAGTTTGGCCACAGAATTCAACCCAATCTGCTTGGGTTGAGCTTTTTTTTTATTTTTTTTTGGGTTGAGTTAGGCTTTTCCTAAGCCATTCTTTGCCATTTCACCCCCATGCCCCCAGYAGCTGTGACTAAAAAACTGAGGTTGGAGCTCTGAACCCTTCAGAGGCTAACCAGAAGAGAGYAAACTCTGTTACCTGGTAACACCACCTGCCCAGGAGATAGTAGAGCTGAGGGTCGTGTGGCTTCAGTGCAATGGCTTTATCGATGTGTTCCTGCAGGAAAGCACCACCAGCACACRTCACATCTTTGTCAAAAGGAAATGAAACATCCACCAGAGCAGGTGGAGAAAGGGGAAAGGAAGAAATCCACCATTGAAGTGTCACAAGCTGTGTAATTACAGCTACAGATGCCAAATTTTCTTAGGGTGGATTCAGTGAGCAGAGAAAAGCAGCATTTCTCCAGTCTCAGGGACAGGAATTACTGCACACACAACCCTCAAAGAAGCTGCCCTGTGTTTTATTCCTGCTCCAGAGCCATAACCACCTCACCAAAGGCTGACAGGGAAACAGTTATCTGTGGCCTGTTCCATGGGCATCCTTTCCCCCTGGGAACATCCACAAGGCATCACACCACTACTGCTACTAGCAGGAATAAAAATAAGGGAATCTGAAATCTTCTTTGAGCAGTAACTGCTTCCTGGGGAGGGTTCAGGTTGTTCACAGGCACTTATTGGAGACAAGATGGTGCTCTTTCTTATCACCACACAATAATCCCATGTTTCAAGCTCTCAGTCTCATCCTTTACCTAAACTCATTTGCAAGACTCCTTTTTTCCTGCAATTATTGTGTGGAAAACTGCAAAGCCAGCCCAGTCACTCTCAAAAGCATGGCTGGAATCACCTTCCTCACCCCAAACCACCCATTCTTGGCATCTCTGAGAYCTAATGCTTCCCTAAGAAGAACTGGAGCCAATTTTCCCAACTTCCTGCTACAGAATTAAGYGTTGATACTCACACAAAGTCCAGAACATCCTTTCCACTTACCTTGAAAACATATCCAGCCTGGATGCGCTTGGGAATGCTCTCCTGTTCCGACATCTGCCCACAAAGGATGGCAAACCTGCACRGGGAAACACCTGCATGAGCCACCCAGGATCAAATCAAAATCCAAGGATTAAATCCACATTTAACCCACATTCACCTGCTGCCCATGGCTGCACAAGGAATATCTACAAGTGCCCAAAGGCAGGTTGGACAGGGGTTGGAGCAGGGGGTGGAACAGGATTTAAAGTCCCTTCCAACACTCAGCCATCCCAGAATTCTGTGAAGTGCATTAAAACTTCACACTCTCCTGGAGAAAGCAAGGAATACAGCACAACCCTGGCAGGGAAGAGGCCAAAACAGTAAAAATTTAGCACCCAGGAAGGAATGAGCTCGAAGGACGAGGAAAGTCAGCAGGAGGGGTTGGGTGCACACAAAGTGGCTGCACTGATGGCTAAAAGCCAGGAGCAGCACACTTCCACACCTGGAATTCTGCACTCAGCAGGGAAAACTGTGACAGAATACAAAGCAGAGTGAAGTTAACTTCAGTGAGATGCAGACTACGAGCAACTCTAACCAACTACAGGGCATGGCCACTTCCAGCTGCAGCACACAGGGCTYTGCTTCCAGGGAAACACCAGGAAAAGGAAACAGAATAAAACAATTCAGTGCTCCAAGGGCAAAGCCATTCAGTTTGGTCCAGGTGAGCCCGAGAAGTGAAGCCCCAGCAAAATCAGTTCTTGCACGAGCAGTGAAATTCAAGGAGGATCCACAAATCCCTGTGGATTTGTGCCCTCCCATCTCACCTCCCTGCATCTCCTCCCAAGAAACAAYCAGTCAGAGAGCTCTCAAGTGGAGAGAGAAGTTCTTAAGAACATGCAGATGGAAGTTTGGCCTCTGGGAATGGAGGATGCTTCCACCCCTTCTCCAAGTTTGGCTCAAAAAATACCAGGTGGAATAAACAGACAAATGAATAGCATGGCTCATTCAAAAAATAAAACTGAAAAGAAGAAAGATGCAAATAAAAATCCATTTTCCTACACCCACATCGCGGTGCTGCCAGATACTGACATCAATATCCCCCCAAAGCATCCCTCAGGATGATTAACCACAGCAGATGTGCAGGAATTTGTCAGGAAACCTTTAAATCTCAGAGTCACCAAATCCCWGAAATCTCCCACACCTCACCAGTCCATTTCCATTTTACAGCACAAAGCTGCCTTTCCTAAATAATTTACCWATTTGCCTTAAATCCCTTCCTTTAATTTTTTCATTTTCTTGTGGAAAAGCTCCAGTTCAGCTCTAAAATTCTTATTTTTCATGGTAATGGCAAGGATTACCAGATCAGTGTTTATRGGACAAAAATCTTTTCCTGCCAGCTGGAAAAGCTCATGGCTCCACYGCCCCACTCTGTTGTGTGCACATGATGGAATAAGTATTTTTAGAATCTTCTGCAGTTTGTTTCCCAACAAATAAATTAAATATCAGCCTGGACTAAATAGGCCTAGCCACAACATGACAGGACTTTGGAAATACAAGCCAATAAAAAGCTTATTTTCTAAGATCACAAAGTAAATAAATCTTGCAGCTGTCTCATGTTAAATACAAATTCTAGGTTTTTTTTTAAAAGCCTGGTGAAATGTTGATGAAAAAGCCATAAAAGCTGCAGTAAATTACATTTCAGTCCTATTTTGGTGCCACCAAATAAACTAAAAAAAAAAAATATTCATGGAAAGAGACTCCTGATTTGATTTTTCACTGTATTCCCAGGAAAGCTGATCCTTCCCAACCCAGCTTTGCTGATTCCAGGTTCAGGGCCACCAGACTGATGGGGATTTTCATACCCACAACTCTGCATTTCTGGGATTTTAGGCTCTGCTTTCTGCTSTTCTCTGCCCTGCTTGCTCAGCTTGGCAGGATGCAGCCATTTATTCCAGCTAATTCCATGGGATGCCTCGGGATGAGCATCACCAGAGGTGCAGGAGGGCTGAGCAGCAGGACCAGGAGAGATCAAAAATAACAATTTAGGGGATTTTCACACCCCTGTAACCAKTGTGCCCTGTGCAGCATTGCTCAGATCCATCAAAAGCTTTCCTTAGGATATCCCTTGATTAATTAATAGCCACATTCCTCATTAAGCTGCTGACACTCCAGCTCCCACAGGAATCTCAGCTCAGGATTCCACCATTTGTTGGAAAATAAACTCTGGAAGCAGGAACCCCCATCWGAGAAAACGAGAAAATCTCTTCAACCAGCTTAAAACCCCAGGCTCAGGACCATGAAGGACTTTTTGGATTCTGCACTCTGCCTTCCCTGGAAGCAGGATTTTCCCCATGGAATACAGAGCCCCCAAGCACTTCCCCTTCACAGCCAGGGTGCTCTGCCAAAGAGCTCTTACCTCTTTTTACCACTTCAAACAGAGCYTTCCCAAAATTTTATGAGCATTCCCAGTTTTTCACTTTCCTGTGCACTAGGGAGATGTATGTCAGTCCCTCCACTCCCAAGTACAGGGACAGGGAATTAGSAGGCAGGTGCTTAGACTGCAAGAACCAAAAATTCAAGGAAGAATTTATTTGGGAATTAATACCTTGGGAGAGACAGCAGAATTCCCAGCAACTCAACTGGAATTTAATGACCAGCTGATCAGGAAGAGGTTTGGAAAAAAAGCTTTGGCTTCCTTTTCCAAGGAAGATGGAAGGAAAAAGGGGGGAAGGCTGATGTTTTTCCTTCCTTACAGCCCATTAACATCCATAGGGGAGGGCTCCTCTATTCCTGATGTTCAAATTCCTGGATTCACCTTCCAGGGCAGACAAGGCAGGGGGATGCATTCAGACAGCTCTAATTCCACACTGTTTTCTCTCCTCTACATTCCAAACTATCTCCTAACACCCATTCCTGTAGTTCCTCCTGCTCCATATCACATTGCCAGTAAATTCCCTGTTTAATCCGCCTGCAGAACAGAAAATSCTCAGCTCATAAATCCAGAATCTGGCTCAAAATTGCCCAGCTCTGGGCAGTGATGCACCAAGAGTTAAATTCTGATGTTAAATTCAAGCCCTCTGCCAGACACAGAATGCTGTGACTTTTCAAAAATCCAGGATCTGCCCACAGAGAGCCAGATGTACCCACGGAACTGAGAAGGGCTGGTGATCAAGATGTTCCACAGAACTGCCAGACTCTCCAGGGGAAAGGCACATTTTGGAGACTCATCCAACCCAACCCCACTTCTCCACAATACACAGAGCAACTCCAAGAGGGCTGGAGCTCATTATTCCTTCCACAACGATGGCTTTCAGCAGGCAGCACTTCATTTCCAGGGCAAAATGTCCAACTCAAACTACAGCTCCTGACACAAATTTTCCTCAGATTTCTCTGAAATCCCTCTGGCTGTACTTCCAATATTGCTTTTAGCAAGAGGAATGGAAGCCAAGGCAAATCCACAGCTTGCCCTCCTTTCCTGTTCCTGCTGCCCCATGCTTGCAGTTGTGCTGCAAACACCCACAGGGAACGGGCTGGGAATTCTCAAAGGCTGGCCAAAATTCTCAAAGCTGTTTCTCACTTAATTTCTGAGAGGTTTGTGCAAGCACTGATGCCTCTCCATCCATGCATCCATGCATCCATGCATCCATGCATCCATGCATCCATCCATCCATCCATCCATCCATCCATCCATCCATCCATCCTTCCATCCATCCATCCATCCATCCATCCATCCATCCATCCCTGTCCATCCCTGACCGACCATCCATGCATCCATGCATCCATCCATGAATCCATGAATCCAT